TTTCAGGGTAGGATACCTTATAATTTACCATTAATGGTTTAGGATAATCATATTCCAACTTTCTGGCTTTTACTGTAAGGCTCCTGGGTAGTGTTATGTCGGGGTACTTCCCCAAATCAAAATGGCAATTCCCAATATAAGAACCTTACATTCTACTGGAAAGGTACTTCGGACCCTCTGCGGATTTTATTCTCTACAGTTTGGAGCTTCGTGGTGATACTCTGCGACCTTTGCTACTTCCACGTGATTACCAAAAGGTTTACCTGTTCAAGTCGAACTGCTTTTCCCATTGATCCCAGGCCGCAGAGGGCTGAGGGTATAGGGGCTTTATCACTGAGCGGCAGGGGTGCCACGTTTACGGTTTATACAGATACACGAGATAGGGATTGAATTAAGGTTTACGGCGTATACAAGATAGGATTAAACTAAGGTTTACGGTTTATGATCGGGTTTAATTGAGTTACCCCACCCCAGCCCAGTCCAGTCCACTCCACTCACTCCTTCATTTGCTGTATGTCTTTAGCGCTCGCCCTGCCCCAGCCACGAGTGCCGGTGCCAGGTCTGGACGGTTGGGAGCTATCTTGCAGCGCATTGAGAGCCTCCGGAATGCCTTCAGGGTTCATCCAGTGGAATTTCGGTGTTGGATCGCGCCTTAGAAGTTCCGATATGTGTTTTCGGTGTCACGGTGTAAGGTTTGGGGGTAATTGAGAGTATGAGTTGAGGTTTAAGCCATGAAACATCGCCACGGACTGATGTGAGAAACTCATTTGACTGTCCAACTCCGTCGAGAAATCACCTAATTGCTGAAATTCTTCGCAAAACGGTCGCTACTTTGAATTGTTCTGAGTGTTAGGCTTAGGCTTCTAAGCCCTAAACCCTACAATGAAGGGCCTTCTTGCCTCAGCGACGTCTCAGTTTCACTGCCGCGCTCAGCGGCCGTAGACATGCGCTCGGACCACTACCGCAAAGACAGCAGGAGGAAACAATCGGAGCTTAGGGTTCAGTGGCCTCTCGTGTCGGGGTGCAGGGTTTATGGTTGAGGGTGGTTCATACCTCTGGTTCGTCTTTTCTGCTTTCATTCCCTTGCAAGAAGCCGAACGAGGAAGTTGCGAGAATTCCAAAGTCCCTGTCGGTGCCAGGCTTGGGCAACAATGCCACTGCCGAGGTGAGACCAGTCTTTGTCAGGTTTGGAAGAACGGAAGAAGGTTGGGATATGATGTTTGAAGTTACAGATTTGCCCGACCCTGTCATTTCATAGATCCCGCAGTGCCCACCTAAGCATATTCGATCAAGAGACCGATTTGTTTATGAATTAGTTGGTGTTCGATTTAGGGGTAATTCCTTTGGGTTTCGTGTATGCTTGCTATATCTATAGAAACATCATTTTTCCTATGTTCCCCCCCGCCCCCGGAAGGTTGTCGTGTTTTGTGCTGTGCTTTGCGGTTCCCCTTTTCGTTGCACTTACACTACAGGGTTTCTACTCCCAGGACCCAAGCCCCAAACCCTAAACCCACAGCCCTAAACCCTAAACCCAGACCTTATAGGACCTAAACCCCAAACCTTACTTACACGCCCTAGATACGACCGAAGTGACTGTGGGCTCGACCACTAGATTCTTGCTGCCGCATGTCCGTGCAAAGCCTTAACACCTGGATTCCGGAACCGGAAGCTGCACCATCAAAAGCCACCTCAAGGCTCCAACTAGCCCAACAGCCTTACATAGTATGGTCGTTGGGCCCAAAAGCCTTAAAAACATGAGTCGTTAGAGCCTAAGGGATCAAGTCCTCAAGCTTACTTTTGGGGATCATGGGGCATTGGGGTTATAAGTAACTATGACTACGTGTATAGTTACCGTACATCTTACCCCTTGCTACTAAGTCCCATGATCCTTTGAAGTAGGGACCCTGAACTGCTCCCTAAACCCAAACCCTAAACCCGCCAAAGCCCGAAATCTCCTCCCTGAATATCTGGAACCCGGAGCCCACGAACCCGGGACCGAACCCCAGATTTTGAAGACCTCAAACCCCGAGGCTAGTCGCTGACATTTGCAGGGATTAAACAGGGTTTTGATGATTCATACTTCTGGTATAGAAACTATACTGCCTGTAGTCTCCATTGGAGTTACTTTTTGTGGTTTAACAAGTTTCATGTTCAGGAGCTTATAAGGCAATCCAAAAAAGGAACCCCAAAAAGGAACTACAATGGAGACTCCCGCGGTGCGATCCAGCTCGTAGCATTGCAACCAAGCCCTAAACCTGAAGACTTTCAACTCTCCGTCGGCTTAGTCTTTAACGGTCTATGAAACCTTAAACTCTCCCCCTCTAAGCCCCCAAAACCGCCGCTAAAGATGTGCCACAGGCTCCGGCGAAGAAGCCCCGATTGGAGGAGAAGGCGCACGGCTTACCGCAGCCATCAGGCGTGTAACCCTTGATCCTGGAGTGTGGTTTACCCTGACACGGTAGCCGATCAAGCTCCGCCTGTGCATGTATGCTCGTTCGCGTGTGTGTGTGTGTGTGTGTGTGTTTGTGTGTGTGTGTGTGTGTGTGTTTGTGTGTGTGTGTGTGTGTGTGTGTGTGTGCGCGGTGTGCTTTCGCATCATATGGGAGTTTCCGAAAATAGGGGGCCCAAAGGTAGGATCCTTATGATAAAGACTCCAAAAAAGGTACCCCTAAATTTCGGAAACTCCCATATCTCGAAGCAGCTCCTTCATCCCGTAGCCTGTTGGCATCAACAGTTCTTGCACTCCCATCGCACGTGAGTAGGTTGAACCACTGAACCGATGCCGCACGCAACCCCAAAGTGCCAGTCCTGAAGAAGACTGTGCTGATGGCTCTAGAATGCCACTCAAAGGATACCAACGAAAGATGTGCATATTCCTGAGTGGGGTTTCGAAAGCAGACTGTTATAAGCATTGGTTTTATTACTTGCACTGTCCGCAATCCTACATTCGATCCGATTTCCGCAGTGTTTGCTCCCTCCGACCCATATCCTTTCCTAAAGCCTGCGATTTCTCTTTGCTGGAGCTATCTCCCATGTCCTGAACCTTGGTTTCTATTTCCGCAAGTTCGACCACCGAGCTGGCTACCTTCCCAAAGGCTCCATGTACCTTCATAGTAGACACTTGAGCCTTAAAGGGGGGTCCCTATATAGGCACTTTAAGGCCTAAGTATATATACTATATGGGTACATGGAGCCCTAGGGCTGTCCTCGAAATGCTGCCGGATGGAGGTCGAAGTCTCAAGCCCATTTTCCTCTCTACTTGGCGGATCATGGGACTTAGTAAGTAAGGTTATAAGTACCTTAATTGGGGTTATACGTATAGTTACTTTACTTATAACCCCAGTTACTAAGTCCCATGATCCTTTAAGTAAGCTCCAAGAATTGAACCTCGAGGAGGAGGCCACGGCCACACTCGAGGAGACAGGCCGGGGGTCCAGAGGGTTGGAGAAGGTCTTGGTGTAGGATTTTCGGTCACCCTAGACCCTACACCCTAAACTTCCTAAATCCTTTACTTCGAACCTTACCCTCAGCATGCCAAAATGGTGCTTTGGTTACCCTGAATCCTAAACCCGTAGTTTCTGCGGCACGGAGAGGCCCCCAAAGTCCAAGAGCTGGCAGCATGTATATGGTTTTAGGGTTTAGGATTAGGATTTAGGGTTAGGAGTTTAGGGTTTACGGGTTTGCGGCTTAAGGTTTTGATTTAGGATTAGGATTTAGGGTTAGCAGTTTAGGGTTCAGGGGTTTGGGGCTTAAGGTTTTGGTTTAGGATTGGGGTTAGGAGTTTATGGTCTAGGGTTTGGGGCTTAAGGTTTTGGTTTAGGATTAGGATTTAGGGTTAGGTTAGGAGTTCAGGGTTTAGGGGTTTGGGGCTTAAGGTTTTGGTTTAGGATTAGGATTTAGGGTTAGGATTAGGAGGTCAGGGTCCTAAACACCATAAGCCTCACTTAAACTATGTATATCTCCAGCAGCTGCTGTAGCCACCAGATGGAGCTAGAGACTTAGATGCTTTCTTACAGCCTAAACGCTAGACCCCAAAACTCTCCCATGATGCTTGTAGGGCGTTTCTCCCGTAAGCGCCTGGCGTTTGTTCCAGTGGCTGAGATTCCAAGACGACTTCCAAGGAACACAAACTAGGTATCGAATTTGAACTATTGTCTATTTCCTTTAGTGTTTAACATTAGAGTCCTAGTTTCAATTAATGTTTGGGCGCTGTTGGAATCGACGGCTGCCAGTCAACTATTGATCTGCGACAGCCTGTGCTGCAAATTACGATATACTAGACTAATGCTACTCGATGAATGAGTTCTTCTTCTTATCTTTATTGTGATTACTGTTTATGATTATTATTATGGCTCCGATTATAATGTGTGCATATATACATATATATATACTTATATATGTGTATACACGCCTATCCTAGACTCTGAACCCTAAGCAGTAAATACAGCAAGCTACGGACAGAAGCGACCCATGCAGACAAGAGCCGTCACCGCGCAGCCCATTCAGGCTCTGCAGCATGCCGCAGGTCCCCAGAGCCTCTTAAACCTCTTAATTAAGGAATATACCTTAAACTATATTAGGTAATTAAGGAATATACCTTAAACTATATTAGGGATCCTACTATGATTTAAGGTATATTCCTCAATTAAGGGGTTTTGGAGGCTCTGGGTCACGCCCCCGCTTTGCCACTCGCCACTGCTGCAGCAAGGACCCATCCCAGGACCTATTCGGGAAAGCGCTTTAGGCATCAGAACTGAAAGATACTGCAGTATAGCTACAGCATGCTGCACATTCCTTGCATCTTGTGCCTCATACTGTACGATGGTATGCTTTGGTATACTTCCCTGAGCCTTATAACCCTAAACCCTAAGCCCTAAACCCCAAAAAGCACCTAAGCCCTAAATCCTAAACCCTATCGCACCTAAGCCCTAAACCCGAAAACCCCAAAAAGCACCTAAGCCTTAAACCCTATAGACCCTAAAAGCACCTAAGAGAGGACGATGCCTCGTCCGGGGTCCGGGCCCCGAGGCGCCGGGGAAAGGCCAGCCTCTGCACATGCGCGAGTGGAGACCCTCGGCTGTGCGACGGTTTAGGGTTTGGGGTTTAGGGTTTAGGGTTTGGGATTTGGGGTTTAGGGTTTAGGGTTTAGGGTTTAGGGTTTAGGGTTTGGGTTTTGGGGTTTAGGGTTTAGGGTTGAGTGTTTGGGGTTTAGGGTTTAGGGTTTGGGGCTTAGGGTTTAGGGGCCCTTTGAGATCCTCGACTCTTTGCGCGAGCTCTTTGGGGAGGATAGACGGGCTCCTTACCCTAGGGATCTAAGGACTCATGTAGGGTTCCTTTAAGGGGAGCTATAAGGGGTGCTTTAAACGATCTATAGGTTTAGGGATCTAAGGACTCATATGTTAAGGCTTTGGGGCCCAAAGACCCTACTGTCTAAGGCTTTTGGCCTATGTTGATCCTTTGGGTTACAGGGTTCCTTGTGAAGGGTCTACAAGGGTGCTATAAGGGTTTGGGGTTCTAAGGGTCATGGTAAGTAAGGTTATAAGTACCCTAGTTCGGGATATATAAACATATAAGTATAGTTACCTCAGACTCTTTTATGACCCAAGTTACCAAGCCCATGATCCGTTTAGCGGGTTTGAGTATGTAGGGGTAGAGGTGTTTGGGGATGGTGGATAGACACTCCATGGGTAAGCTCCTGCAAGGTTCACCTACGTGTCTTCCTACAGTTTTGGAGTCTCTTTCAGGAGATAGTCAGACAGATCCTCGAGTAACCAAGGTACCTGCGGTAGATGTACCAATTCTCTGGGGTCATTCTCGTTTTAAAGGTACATTGGCTACAGTAGGAGGAGCCGAGCCAGAGCTTCTTGCATACCGGTTTTCTTTTTGGCGCATGTCAGCCGATGTGGACCAGTGAGTGTAACGCCATCCCCCCTCGAAACAACAACACCGATGTGTGGCAGGCTCCCCAACCCTCATTCCCAAGCCTAAACCCTAAACCCTATCCCTGGGGCTCCAAATAGCCCAAAGTAGACATTATCTGTAGACTTTAGACCCCAAAGTAGGTAATTACTGCTTGTGTACTTGGAGCCCTAGGGTATGCCCCAAAGGGCTACCATTATGGATTAGGTCAACTTGGTCCCCAAAACCATAATAAGGATGGTCTTTGGGGGCCTAATTCCAGGTCTGTATGGCCCTAAACCGCAAACCCTAAAACCCTAAACCCCTAAAATGCCAAAACCCTAAACCCTAAACCTCTGACCCGCTGGGTACCCTTCCAGATCGAAGGATTCATCATGGCTGTACCTGCCCAGCGCCGGATCCAGGAGCAGTCGCTGGTGGCCCAGGTCAGCCTTGTCCTTTTTCCATGGTTCCCCCAAAAGCATAAGCAGACCGACTAGTAGACCTAATATAATTCCTACTAAGGGATATAGGTATAGGGCTCTGTCTATTATTTCTGAAAGGACAAGGGTGGCCCAGGTGGCCAGGTCGCCAAAATCCAGGCGGTCAGAGTCGAAGGCTTTTTTTGATTTTGGGGTTGGGGCTTAGGGTTTCGGGTTTTTGATTTAGGGTTTCGGATTTAGGGTTTAGGTTTAGGGTTTAGGGTTTCGGGTTTAGGGCTTATATAGGGGCCTAAATAATTTGAATTGGGTTCCTTTAAAAGGCTCCTATATGGGTTACTGTAGGGGTTACTGTAGGGTCAGGGTACTATGTTTTAGGTGCCTTAATAAATGTCTGTGCTTTTTTGGGTGGTTCCTGATTGTATGTATAGTATAAGATACCCCAGAACCCTATTCTAGTTAGCAAGGCCCCATTTTCGGCTTGCCGCAGAACCGCAACACCCACCCTAAACCTCGCTAGGATTAATTTGATTTAGGTTTGGGGTTCAGTGGTTGGTTGTTGTGGTTGGTTGGTTGAGGTTGTGGTTGTGGTAGTGGTGGTGGTGGTAGTGGTGGTGGTGGTCGTTGTGGCCGTGGTCGTGGTTGTGGTTGTTGTTGTTGTTGTTGTTGTTGTTGTTGTTGTTGCTGTTGTCGTTGTCGTTGTCGTTGTCGTTGTCGTCGTTGTTGCTGCTGTTGTCGTTGTCGTTGTCGTCGTTGTTGCTGTTGTCGTTGTCGTTGTCGTTGTCGTTGTCGTCGTTGTTGCTGCTGTTGTCGTTGTCGTTGTCGTCGTCGTTGTTGTTGTCGTTGCTGTTGTTCTTAGTTTTGTCATTATTATTGTCATTATTACTCTTCTTGTTGCTCTTGGTGTTGTCATTAACAGTTTTCGTGTTATTGCTTGTTTTTTTCGAGTGTCACTGTGTTGTTGTTGTTGTTGTTGTTGTTGTTGTTGTTGTTGTTGTTGTTGTTGTTGTTGTTGTTGTTGTTGTTGTTGTTGTTGTTGTTGTTGTTGTTGTTGTTGTTGTTGTTTGTTGTTGTTGTGTTGTGTGTTGTTGTTGTTGTTGTTGTTGTTGTTGTTGTTGTTGTTGTTGTTGTTGTTGTTGTTGTTGTTGTTGTTGTTGTTGTTGTTGTTGTTGTTGTTGTTGTTGTTGTTGTTGTTGTTGTTGTTGTTGTTGTTGTTGTTGTTGTTGTTGTTGTTGTTGTTGTTGTTGTTGTTGTTGTTGTTGTTGTTGTTGTTGTTGTTGTTGTTCGTGTCATTGGTATTGTTATGTTGTTTGTCCTTGTTCTTCTGATTGGTCTTGCTGTTCGTCTTCTTCTTGTCATTATTATGGTATTGTTGCTGTGCTTGTTTGTGTTATTGTTATCGTTGCTGTTCTTTGTCTCGTTATCCTTATTGTTGTTGGTCTTGTGGTTATGGTTGTGGCTATTCTCTGACGTAGACCTGAAAAGTGTTGTAGTACGGAGTTATTGAAGTTGCATGCAAGACCGATGGCATTCTCACAACATTCATTCATCATTCCTTGAGCCTATATGCTGGACTTGTCTTGACTTCAGGCATGTTCCGGATCTTCGGCACCGCCTCCAAGTACAATGATCTCGACCCGCTGCAGCACGGAATCCAGCAGGGCCTCGTCAAGCACGTCGAAGGCGTAGCGAAGGATGCCATTCGTGCAAGCTTTTGGGCAGAACCCTCTGAGTTTTGGTTTTGGGATAAATCAAAACCAATCACGTAGAGCACAAAATCGCCGCAAGAGCTACGATGCTGCGAAATCTTCAGATTTGTTTAGATGGAGTATTGGTTTGTTGATATTGCAGGTGTTAAACTATGCAAGATCAGGATGGGGGCTTTCTCGGGTCCCTCCCTGTATCTAATCCGAAGACAACTTCGTGGATATTGCCCCCACTCTGTAGCAGTTAGACAAAAGTTCTAGCACACCTCTAGCAGAACATATAGCCCTTATTATGACCCGTAATGTAGACTGTTACTGTATGGGTGCAGTACCCAAACAAAAATCCAACCTCTACCCTTTGCAAGCCCTGAAATAATTGCAGAAAGTGTCCCATTCCGGGATGCAGCAAGGCTTAGCAAAGTCGTCTCCCTACAGCATGGGGTGCGCATCGACGTTTCGCTCACAATCGCAATTCCGAACGGTGGATGTGTCCAAGATTAATCGTGGTCGCCATAACTGGCAAAAGCTTGATACCTTCCAGACACCATTTGGACATCTTGGAGATATTGAGGATGTGGGCAGGCCGACCTGTGGGCATTGCAGCTACAGCTTTGAGACGCTGCAGTGCACGATTGCAAAGATGCTGCAGCAGACCGAGATCAACATCGTCAATGCCGTTGAGAAATGCTGTCGACCACCAGTTCCGCCAGGACCACTACTACTACTACTACTACTACTACTACTGCTACTACTACTACTACTACTACTACTACTACTACTAATTACTACTACTACTACTACTACTACTACTACTACTACTACTACTACTACTACTACGCCTGCTACTACTACTACTACTACTACTACTACTACTACTACTACTACTACTACTACTGCTACTGCTACTACTACTACTGCTACTACTACTACTACTACTACTACTACTACTACGACTACTACTAATTACTATGACGACGACTAATACCACCACTAATATAATAATAGACCGACGAATCCTGATTCTGTGAAGATGGAAGTCTGAAATGTATGTCTAGATTGTTGAAATTGTCAAGTCACCAGCCCCAAGACCTGGAAGCCTTCAAGGTTTTCGTGTCCCAGTGCCCTGGTTGAATCTGAATCATCAAGCTTCGAAGACTTCAAGACTTTGTAGAGCGCATGTGCCCGACAATGGGCTTGGGGTTTCGGGAAGCAAAAGGTACTCCAAACTTACCTTTGGTGAGTAGGGAATGGAAGAATGGTAGTAATAGTTATAATTGTACCACATTCCTCCATTCCCTACTGACCAAAGGTACCCCAAACCCTTGGCAGTTTGGGGTTTTGGGAAGAACCCGGTGCAGCTCGGAAGTCGAGGAAGCATTGCTGATTACTTATTTACTTTTGCCGTTCGAGATGTGTTCAATTTCCTGGGGTCCCAGCTTGCTGAAAATCTAACCACGGCAGCCCACCAGCCTTCTGATACAGCAACGAAAGGTTTTTGAGAAGCCACGGCAAGACTCCTACACGCTCTAGATCTTGTAGCCCCCACTGAACGTCAAAATCAACATCCCCAAAGCCTGTGCCAGAACCCTCAATGTGCAAGCCTTCGCAAGGTCCTCAAACCCTAAACCCTTAATCTTACCGTTGGTTAGTAGGGAATGGAAGAATGGTAGTAATAGTAGCTATAATTATACACCATAAGTAATCCGCAGGAGCAAGTCACGGGGGAGGATGCCCATCTCCACCAGCCTGCCGGCCTGTTCATTGAGAGCTGGCAAGTCCCTGCACCGCTTGGTTTTATTGGGTTCGCAGGTATACCTTAACCCGGAATAACCTACCGTTTTAAGGACTTATATAAGGAAATCATAATAAGGAACCCTAAACAGGTAGGTTATTCAGGGTTAAGGTAGAGTTTGCGGCTTGAAAGCTCCTAAACCGCTTGCCGCGAAGGATGTTGAGATGTTCTGATTCGGGGTTTCGGCTGTGCACCTTTGGATATGATATCCTTGACGCCCAATCCTGCCGGCAGTTCTTCAATAGCAACTCCCCTATAAAACCTGCATAAAACTGTACAAAACCCTGGCAAACTCCCAGAGAGAAAAGAACGAAGTCCAGCCCTTTGAGTCTCTCCTACAAGATGTGTTGGAAAACCCCTTAAAACCTGAGAGAGCGTGATGAAACCCCTGAAGACCTAAGAGACCGGGTAAATCCCTTTAGATCCGGCATTACCCATAATGCGGAATTTACCATAATACCCATAGTCTAGGGTCTTTACTTGAAGGATCATGGGACATAGTAACTAGGGTTATAAATAAGGTAACTATATGTACAATTAAAAGAAAAAAAAACCCCAAACAAGGTAGTACTAATAACCTTACTTACTACGTCCCATGATCCTCCAAGTAAGGTAATGCAGGATTTCTATCATAACGCTAAACCTAAAACCCTGCATCCTATTAAACCCTAAACCCTATAGATCCCTTAAAGGGAGGCCTTAAAGGAACCCTTATAGATCCCCTTAAACGAACCCCTTAAAAGTATCCTTATCACCAACCGTAAGTCCGTCCCCACCAGGTTGAAGGGTCAGGAGGACCACCCCCAGGCAACGGTCTAGGGTTCAGGGTCTAGGGTATGGGGTTTAGGGTTTAGGATTGGGTTAGTGTTTAGGGTTCAGAATTTAGGATTGGGTTTAGGGTTGAAGGTTGAGGTTGAGGGATAGCCTGCAATAAAACAAAGCTCACAAGGATTCGGGATTTGTTGGGTTTCGTTTTGGGTTTGTAAGGGTTTTTGTGAATTTTTTTATGAAGGTTTTACAGCAGCTCTCTTTGGGTTCTGCAAGGGTTTCGGAGTATACGCCAAGTCCCTCAAATCGAATTATGCAAGCCCCTATATTCCGTCTGTGTACCCGGGCTTTTGGGGTGTTGGATTTTCGGCCTAGGGAGGCATACTGAGGTCAAGTGGAATAGGTTCAGGATTATTTAGGGCTCTAGAGGTTTAAGATTTGTTTTGGAGGCTAAAAGGTTCCAGATTGTCAAGCTTATGGTGTTCTAAAGACCTGAGGGCTTTGTTTGGGGCCTTAGGTTCTGGTTTTGGGGTATCGGGTGTCACTTTGTCCTGTTGCAGTACTTTGGGCTTCCTTAAATCCTGCGAACAAAACATAACCAAACTGTAAGGGACTTAGTAAGTAAGGGTACAAGTAGGGTACAATGAGGATAACCCCACTTGGGGGACTTATAACCCCAATTATCGCCTACTTACTAAGTCCCATGATCCTTTAATTTAAGTACGTTTCTGCTCGGTTTTGCATGGCGTTAGGGGACTTGGGGTCCTCTAGTTTCGGTCCCGGGGTTAGAAAGGGCGCTCGTCTTTGGTTGTGGATGGTGAGTAGCTGCCATCCAGCTCATACATGGAATCCATGTATGAGACATCCACAGAAAAAAGGCTTGGGCAAGAACATTTGTTGGGTTTTTGTTTGTAGGGCAACCTGGAATGCCTAAGTCCATGTTTGGAGATAGCGCTTGTTTCTGGACGCAGTTCTCATGTCGGTGGCCTGGTTGAGACATCACTGTTGGTTTGAACACGAGAAAGTTCTTATGTTCGAGTACTACTTAAAGGCTCATGGGACTTAGTAAGTAAGGTTATAAGTGATTAGGTTATACTTAGGATACCCCCCACATGGAGGACTTATAACCCCAGTTATAGCCTACTTACTCAGTCCCACGGTCCTTTAAATGGCTGGCTAGTAGCAGCCGTCTCACGCGTTGAGCGTCTTCAATGTTTCACTGCCAACTGCAGAACTCCAACCTCGACCCTGACAAGCCCAAGTACGTGAGCCCATTGTAAGGGCCCCAATAATTACCTATACTATTTTGGGAGCTCCTCATTATCATAATTACAGTATAATGGCCCAACACCCTATTCGAAGTACTCAGGCCTCTACTATAGAATCCTGTCAAAGATCCCTTTTAGATCCCTTCAAGGGAACCTGTTAAAGGAAGTCTATTCCAAGTACAAAGGCCCCGACAGCACCCTCAGCTGCTAAGAGGATCATAGTAACTAAGGTTATAAGCAAGATAACTCTTATAACCCCAATTAAGGCACATATAGTATTTCTTACTAAGCCCCATAATCGTCTAAGTGCTCCCAACGCCCTTGTAGAATCCTTATAGTATCCCTTATGGATCCCTTAAAGGAACCCTTTAAGGAACCCTAGGCCTTACTTACTAAGCCCCATGATCCTCTAAGTACTCCTCGTGGTGCCAGGCAGTCCCAGCCTGCCGCCAGATGTGCAGGCCCTGATCGAAGAAATGTGGGGCCAGGTGGAAGTTTCCAAAAAAAGTCCGGGTACCTTAGCTTGGGGTTTAGGGTTTGGGGTTTAGGGTTTAGGGGTCCTTATTACCAGGTGGGAGTTTCCAAACAAAAATACGGGTGCCTTACTTTGGGGTTTAGGGTTCAGGGGTCCTTATATTATGGATCCCAGTATTCAGGGCACTATATTAGGGTCCCCTATGTTCGGAAGCTCCCAGGTGGGCAGACTGAATGTTGAGGTGCAGATGATGTCAGAGGCGGTGGAAGCCATTCGTGATGAAAAGGCTAGATCCTCTCATGACGTCCCCCAAATTTTGGCGGAGATTCGGGAGACGATGAAGACGCTAGTGGACGGCCAGAAGGCCGTTCATGATAAATCATGTGATATTGTTGCGAAAGCGCCGCAAGAGGTCAGGGCTATGCTGACGGCTTTCTTCGAGGACAAGAAGCCTGGCATGGACCCGTCGGGTGTCGTCGAAGCCGCACTTGAGAAGAAGTTCACAGAGATGAAGACCACACTAAGTGGCATCCTCGACGACAAGAAGCCTGGCGTGGACATTCTGGAGTTGGTGAAAGTCCTTCATCACAAGTGCGAACATGACATCGCCACGACTTTGGCAGAGATTAAGCAAATGCTGATTGTTGTCCGAGATGACAAGAAGCCTGGCGTGGATTTACCAGAGGTGTTGAAGGCCGTGCATGATCAGACATGTATTCTTGTTGCGCAAACTCTGGGCGAGGTCAGGGCTATGCTGACGGCTTTCTTCGAGGACAAGAAGCCTGGCATGGACTTGTCGGGTGTCGTCGAAGCCGCACTTGAGAAGAAGTTCACAGAGATGAAGACCACACTAAGTGGCATCCTCGACGACAAGAAGCCTGGTGTGGACATTCTGGAGTTGGTGAAAGTCCTGCATGACAAGTGCGAACATCTTGTTGCGAAAGCGCTGGGCGAGTTCAGCGCTGTGCTGACGGCTTTCTTCGGGGACAAGAAGCCTGGCATGGACTTGTCGGGTGTCGTCGAAGCCGCACTTGAGAAGAAGTTCACAGAGATGAAGACCACACTAAGCGGCATCCTCGACGATAAGAAGCCTGGCGTGGACATTCTGGAGTTGGTGAAAGTCCTTCATGACAAGTGCGATCATGACATCGCGACGACTTTGACAGAGATTAAGCAAATGCTGATTGTTGTCCGAGATGACAAGAAGCCTGGCGTGGATTTGCCAGAGGTGTTGAAGGCCCTTCATGATCAGACATGTGTTCTTGTTGCGAAAACGCTGGGCGAGGTCAGCGCTATGCTGACGGGATTCTTCGAGGACAAGAAGCCTGGCATGGACTTGTCGGGTGTCGTCGAAGCCGCACTTGAGAAGAAGTTCACAGAGATGAAGACCACACTAAGTGGCATCCTCGACGACAAGAAGCCTGGTGTGGACATTCTGGAGTTGGTGAAAGTCCTTCATGACAAGTGCGAGCATGACATCGCGACGACTTTGGCAGAGATTAAGCAAATGCTGATTGTTGTCCGAGATGACAAGAAGCCTGGCGTGGATATGCCAGAGGTGTTGAAGGCCGTTCATGATCAGACATGTGTTCTTGTTGCGAAAACGCTGGGCGAGGTCAGCGCTATGCTGACGGCTTTCTTCGGGGACAAGAAGCCTGGCATGGACTTGTCGGGTGTCGTCGAAGCCGCACTTGAGAAGAAGTTCACAGAGATGAAGACCACACTAAGCGGCATCCTCGACGATAAGAAGCCTGGCGTGGACATTCTGGAGTTGGTGAAAGTCCTTCATGACAAGTGCGATCATGACATCGCGACGACTTTGACAGAGATTAAGCAAATGCTGATTGTTGTCCGAGATGACAAGAAGCCTGGCGTGGATTTGCCAGAGGTGTTGAAGGCCGTTCATGATCAGACATGTGTTCTTGTTGCGAAAACGCTGGGCGAGGTCAGCGCTATGCTGACGGGATTCTTCGAGGACAAGAAGCCTGGCACGGACCTGTCCGGCGTGGTCGAAGCCGCACTTGAGAAGAAGTTCACAGAGATGAAGACCACACTAAGTGGCATCCTCGACGACAAGAAGCCTAGCGCGGACATCATCGCCACATTGAGATCATCGAACGTGATCCTTGAGAGGGTCTCCGGTCATGTTTCCGAGCTCTTGAAAGCTGTCGGGGATCAGAAATGCGCCTTGAAATGCGACTTGGCAGAGGTAAAAGCCAGCCTCGGGGTTCTGAAAGATGACAGGAAGCCTGTACCTTAGGCGTACTTAGAAATATTTTTAATGTTTGGTTATTATAATCCCTGAGAAACAGCTAAAATTACAATTTTTGCTAGGGTTCTAAGTTCAGTATAGGTACTTGAGTGGATACAAAGTGCAAAGTCAAGCATCGAGTCGACAGTTGGCGATCGTCACTCTGCGCTTCTTGCCGTCATAGAAGCGAATCAGCAAGTTCTGGTGACCGCGATCTGTCATGAAAGGTCTGATATCCATGTCTCTGCAATGGTGGCAGAGATCAGAGACAAGCAGCTGTCAGTCGAAAAAGCATTGACAGCAACTCTAGAGGCCAAGTTTGCAGAGGTACTCAAGAGCATCGGGGAGAAGCAGTTCGACATTGAGTTCAAAAACGTGCGGCAACTTGTACAGTCCTCTCATGGTGAGCTGAGCAAAGATCTGAGCCATCTCCGTGATGCCATCTCAAAGGTTGCTCGGCGTTTCTTATGGCACACAGAGGTTCCCGTTTTCGGCAGAGCGGCTCTCACATGTTTTGAAGTTGTTTAGGGTTTAGGGTTTAGGGTTACCTGCAAGCAGTCTTGCTTGCATCTTGCGGAGTGGAGCATAGGTTGGCGTCACTATGGGCGCGCGCATCACAAGCATGGGCTTGGGCGAGATGTCCGATACGAGCAAGGACCCTCAGCGGCAATCTCTTTAGCATGAAGAGTCTTCCATAAAGTGCAAGATGTAAGTAGTTCCTTTTCTTGAGGGTTCTCACAAAGAGGGCCCTATCCCTGAACCCTAAACCCCGAAACCCCTTAACCCTGAACCCTGCACTACCGCTATCGCATACGTATTCAGAGGGTACCCGAAGCCGTGGGATCCCGGCCTTAAGGGCTTTGAACTCTTTAAATTCAACCTTATCCCTAAGGGTCCATGTACTCACATTAGTATAATTATACATGGGCCTTACAGTACTCCATATATTGGTACATTGGGCCCAAAGTCAATGCTATATGGGTACATGGACCCTTAGAAAATGGTAGTATGCCAAAAAGCAGGCGATCGAGCTTTTGTATGCCTTTCTCAGACCATACCAGACTGTGGTATAGTATAGTATAATCAGGGTTGGGCTTTAGGGTTTTAGGGGTTTGGGGTGTGGTGACATCTTCTCGTGGACTAAAGAAAGCTTGCATAGTTGCACACCTAATATAGGGGCTTCAATAAGCCTTAATAATCACCTATACTATTTTGGGGGTTCCTTTTTACAATGATAGTATAATGGGCCCCATAGCCCATAGCCTTATTCTAATTATTAAGGCCTCTATAGTACACCCCTACACGTCTGGCTCCCCCCCCACGCAGGTAACGAGTTTTATCGATGGCCTGCACGTCTCCTTGAATGCAAAGCTCCAGGTGTACCACCAGGACAGGTTTAGGGTCCCATAAGGGCCTGTTAAGGGTTACTATGAGGATGCTATAACGGTTTTGGGGGTACTTAGAGGATCATGGGACTTAGTAAGTAAGGTTGTAAGTACCTTGATTGGGGTTATAAGTACAGTTGCCTTACTTAGAACCCTAGTTACTCAGTCCCATGATCCTTTAAGTAGGGTTTGAAGTGTTAGGTTTCCCCAGGCCCAGGCCCCGAATTAAAGCCGAAACTCTTCAGTTGGAGCATGGGCAATGTAGGGAGCAGGTTTTGAACCGCTGCCCTCGGCTTAGATATGCGGTTCGGGTTTCCGCCGCAATCTCCCTGTTTTCCAGGATTTACAACGGAAGAAGCAGACGTATGATTAACACACCATAAAACGTGCGGGGAGGAAGAGCCTCAAGTTTTGGATTCTGGGCTCAGTACAGGCAGACCGCAAGAGACCGTACCAATTCAACTCCGCCTTCCACTGCTGGTCCTTGGAACCCCCAAGAAGCCTTCAACCCAGGAATTCTCAGAGATTTCCTGAGTTTCTTGCTTGGTTGCGGTAGCCTTGCATTTTTTATCAGCATAGGTTCAGGGCTTCTGCTGGCGTCTAAGTGCTGCAGAGAAAGCTATTCCCTGGCTGCTTTTTGCATCTTTTTGCCCAAACCAAACGCTGCTTGGAGGATCATGGGACTTAGTAAGTATGGTTATAAATACCTTAATTGGGGTTATATAAGTATAGTTACCTTAACTATAACCCTAGTTACTAAGTCCCATGACCCTTTTAGTGAGGAAGTCAAGGACCTCTTGCAGGCCATCAGAAATCTGGCACACCATGGGCGAGATCAGCTGCCCGTGGTGATTGCCTCTTTGAAGACAAGCGCTCGGGCACCTCCCTGAAGGGAGATTGTCCTGCTTGCGGCGATGAGTTTCTCTTGAAGCTATGCATAGGCCTCGGTACAGGTCAGGGGCGTCGATTTTGGTGTCACCACTTTAGCCTACTTCTGTAGTGCACTTTGTCAAGGTTTCGCGCTGCAAAAGCAGCTCGTATACTTTCAGCATTGACGAGACATGGCTTTGAAATGTTGCAGGAAGTGCGTACGCAGCGCGAGTAGACGTGGCTGCTAAGGTTTTTAGGAGAACCGAGAAAGTCGTCCGTCCACTGCTCTTTGGCCAGTAGCAAAGCAGGGTTCTAAACATGTGCAAGTACTACCCGCAGTATACCGACCCTACAGTAGAAGTCAGAAAGTTGGAACATCATTGTCCTCATGCCCTTAAGGTAAAGTATAAGGGATCCTAGCACTAATCCTCCTAAAGCCATGTTCCAACTTTCTGGCCTCTACTGTAAACCCCTAAACCCTAAACCTCCCAGCCCTAAACCCAAACCTATAAACCCTAAGCACGTAAGAGACGGCCAGGCAAAGGCGACCTGCCTGCGAAAGCCGAGCAGAAGGATGAAGGGACTTAGTCAGCAGGCGCTTTCAGGGTTTAGGGCTTGGGATAGTTTAGCATGGTTTAGTGTTGAGGGTCTAGGATTTACCTATAGAGTCATACCCCCTACTACATTTATAACAGATCTGTAGCCCAAAAGCCATGCTTTTTGAGGCTTCCTTGCTGTGGTTTCTATTTCTATATCTATATCTATCTACATATCTATATATGTATGTACTTATGTATATTTCTATCTCTCATTTAAAAGGCAGATTTTTGGGGGGCCACAAGTAGGTTTTAGGACCTCGGGCCTGACCTTACTCCATGGGGCTATGCTATACATGCGATAACATAGAAGCGGTTTAGGGTTTAGGGTTTAGGGTCTAGGGTTTGGGGTTTAGGGTTTAGGGTTTAGGGTTTAGGGTTTAGGGTTTAGGGGGGTTGCTTAGTGTAAGTATGCGACTATCATGACACATAATTACATCATTCTACAACCCAAGAACCTATGCTACTTGCAAAGGCCCCATAATCTATATCTGCTCATCGGCGACTTACGAAGTCTTGCTAAGTTTCCTGGACCCTTCAGGCGGGGGCTTGAACGGGGAAGCCGTTGCACTTGGGCGGGTGGCCGCTTATGAGGCTTAGAGCTCGAGGGCTTAAAGGTTTAAGGGGTAATGCTTTTGGGCAGTTGGCATTAGGGAAAGAATCCGAAGTCGTTAACCATCCTACTACTCAAAAGGTCCCAAAAGTTGGAAGCAGTGAGCCGTTGTAGTTCCCGTATAGTTCGAAGATAATATGGCTCCAATTCAATCCCGATTCTAACCATTGACGTCAGTACATTCTGGAATCCGAGACCGCAGCAGTCCTGCGGGCTCATGTAGCCGCAAACGCCCACCTCAGCTCAAGTACTAAAGCAACACAATCGAATATTCGGTTAAGGTTTAGGGTTCAGGGTTTAGGCGGGGTGCGCAAGCCTTCCTTTTAGCCAGGAAACCTCAGTACTCTCGAGCTTCAGACATGGAGAACCCCCAAAAGCCCGTACCGGAAAACGCTTGCCTGGTGGCTGCAGACTGAATGCTCTCAAGGCATCGGAGGGCGCCGTATCTGTGCAAAGGATCTTATAACATGAAAGTCAAAAATCATCACCTATGTTATTCTTTGGGGTTCCTGATTATGTTCAAAGCATAATGGGCCCCAAAATCCCAGTCCAATCATTAAGGCCCCTATATTTATGTTGCTGGCGGTACTTGTTTCTCGGGTTGTATTTACCATGCCGGATGACGGGCACGTACAAGCTGCCGGGCTATCAACACCATCTACTGTCAGTGGGTGTTCAGTGTTCATGCCTTCAATCAAGTCAAGCAATAAATCCGAAACCCTAACCCAAATCCTTGAACCTTCGACCCTCATAGAACCCTGTTTGGATTCTATAAGCATGTCAAAAAGACCTGTAGCGTAAAACTGTGATATGGGTAACACGGCGACCCCCTCTGGCTTGGGACAACTGGAATGCGACGTCGGCTTCATTCAGCAGCTTTACTTAAAACTACCGTTATGCAGCGTTCCCTACGAGTCAGGGTGTAAGGGTCTTCGGTTTTAGGAGTTTAAGGTTTCTCGTGGTGCAATAAGCTCTTGTGGGGTGTCAGGCGTTTGGGCTTTAAGGTTGACGTTGTTTTGGACTTTGCGTTTCTGATTCAGGGGCAAGGCTCTGGCTATGGGTAGAAGCCACCTGAACATTGGATTTCTTAAGGCTTACGGTCTATAGTACTGCCGTAATCAATCCCCACTATAGAAGACTTTAAACTTACAGCAGCAACTGTACATCAACTGTAGAGTATTTGCGTCCATGCCCCAACACCTTTAACCCAAAAGAATAGGCTGATAGAAGATCCCCAGACAGCCCAAGCTGAAACATAAAACCCTCAGCACTCACCTTAAACTCCAAATCTTAAACCCTACACCCTGAACCCTTAAGCCCAAACCCCAAGCCCGAAACCCCTGAACCCCTAAACCCCTAAGCCCTACACCCCAAACTCAACGAAGCTCCGGCCGACGTCGTTCAGATAAGCCGGCCGCACCTCGAACATCAATCTCGGCCTCCCCTCGCTAGTTCTGGAGAGCCAGCCTACCTAGGACCAACAGTAGACCCTTATTCCCTTTTAGGGTTTAGCTTTCCTTATAACTCGCTTTCAACCAAAACGGGCACCCTTTCCATTCCTTTCTAGGTTAATTAGTCCTTAAAATAGGAGCCTAGATAATTACCCATACTGTAGTGGGCGTTCTTTGGTATAACTAAAAAAAATTATACCCCAAAACCCTATTCTATAATGCTATAAAGGCCCCTATATTAGGGTTTTAGGCAAAAAGATGTCATTGTTCTGGGTATTGAGGCCAAAAACAGTACACTTTACAATCCTGAACAACAACCTTGAATACCCTCCTAAACTCAAAAACCCTAACTGTAACACCCTGAGCAGCAAAGTCTAAAACTTTTTAATCTTTAACTCTTAATCTCTGAACTCTAAATCCCTAAATTCTAGAACCCTAAACCCTAGGGCTTTCGGCTTGGCGTTCTGGAATATTGTGCAGGGATTATATTCTTACTGCTACAATCTTCCTCGGTTAATATCCTAAACGTTCACTTGCCTTTGTTTGCCAAAGTTGCCGGTGAGGTTCGTAATTTGTAGTGTACCTGGCCTGAAAGGTTTTAATGGTTGAGTATCACCACAATCCAAGATGGCCGTTTCCAGTCCCGGGTACTAAAATAATAGGATTTAAGGAGCAGTATCCCGCCATGCAGGCAACGGGGCTTCTAGGGTAATATAGAAGCCTAATTGTTGGTAATGCGATCCCTTCGCAGTCCCGATTATAACTACAGTAACTACAGTAGTAATCAAACCCCCGAAGCTCATCGTACGAATTATAGCCTCATTAATACCCCTACATATTAGGCTCCTCCGATAACATGGTTTAGGCTGTCGGATTTCTATGGCTTCTTAGGAAGCTGAGGGTCGATTCCACATTCTCAGCACGATGAAAACCCTCAGACGCTCGAAAGCTTGCAATATGTATGCTCTCTAGCTATGATTGGGCTATTGGGTTTCTGATTTTATCAAAGCTGTTCAAAGCCCAAACCTGCTTGGCTCCGCAAACCGTCTAGCTACACACCTTGCCTATTGACTGATGTCTTCACCTCAGACGTAAGAACATGCTCAGAACATACCGAGCCATTGATTCACATTGATTGACTGAGGAACCTACATTCTTTCTAATGCTTACCATGCTATGTCGTGTTTTATGTGCTAAACTCTAGCCTGGAACACTCCAAGCCTTGCGCCTTGAGTCCGATGAGCCGTGTAAACAAGGCTACTGCAATGCTCTACACGCTTTACAGCACAGCACCCCAGTCTCTGATGCTTGGCTTTTTCGTGTGCATAACAACCCGAGAACCCTAAACCCTAAACCCTTCCCTGGTCAAGGCTTACCCTACAAGGCTCCTGGACCCTCGCAGATCCCAAACCTTAGCCCCCAAAGCCCAAACCCTCCCCCGGAAACCCTCTTCGGAGCCTTAGGGTAGAGACATGGGGGACATGGGCTATAGAGACTACTATAAGGGACCCTTAAGGCACTATCATAGGGATCCATTCCCCCATTCCCCACTAAGAACCAGACAGAAGGGTGGCTTTCGGCTTCCGGGGGATCGGAGGTCTGAGTGTACAGAGCGACATCTTACTCCAGAAAAAGCCCGCAACTGGCACGCTTTAGGTTCACTTAAATGCCTACTTTCCAAAAGAAATATCTTAAAAAGGATCCCTAGAGAGGTGGGTGTTATAGGGTCCAGGTCCAGGTAGGGTTTAGTGCCGATGGCTTGGGGTGCTTATGGGGCTTAGGGTTTGGGGCGCAGCGGTTAGGATGGTGAGGGATTCAGAGATACTGTTCTTAGAGGGTCATGGGACTTAGTAAGTAAGGTTATAGGTACCCTAATTGGGGTTTTAAGTATAGTTATACCATAATTAGAACCCTAGTTACTAAGTCCCATGACCCTTTTAAGTAGTGCTTGGGGTTGTGAAGGGGCATGTATCGGCTTTGGGCTTGCGGCGGATATGGGAGTTTCCGAAAATAGGGGACCCTAACATAAACCCCAAATAGTAGGATCTCCATTATTATAGGGATCCCAAAATATGCTACTCCCTAATTTTCGGACATGAAACTACAGTTGATGATATCAACCCTGCATTACCTAAATGAACCTAGACTTGGGAATTATGATATATTCCTTGTTGGAGGTAATGCAGTGTTTATACCATCAACCGTATTGAAATAGCTTTATTAAGCACTGCAAGGCTCAACTCATGCAGCTTTCGGGATCTAGGTCATGGGATTTGTAGGGCTTGAGGGTTTAGGGTTTTCAAGGGTTGAGAGTTCAGGGGTAAGGGTTTTGGAGTTTACGATGTGTAGATTTCTTTTAG